GGAAGAGGGGATCGTGGGTGAACAGTTCTCCTTCTGACAGGTCCCCATCATGGAAGGTAGGGTCATGGTGGGAGCCCCGTGATTACCTGGGAGAACACAGAGCAGAGAACTGTAGAGAGGCAGGTATTATATGACAGACAGACAACCACAGAGGCATCCGAGTTTAAAGATATTTGTGCTTTGACCACGCTGCATCCTAAAGCCTTTTGGTGAGTTAGCCTGGAGCTCTGAGCACACGTTTGTTTGCCTGTTTTAAAGCAATGTTACAGAGGACAGATTAGTCACCAATGTGCAAAAAGCTCCAATCATCTAATTGTTTTCTTTTAGGGGCTGTGATAAAGTACTAATGATATTGTTGACCTAAGCCACCATGAATACTGCTATTTCTCTAGCCACATGCATTCAGGGTTCTGACTTGGGCTGCTAGGACAGCTTCCTCCCAATGCAGGCTCAAGTCACTGGTCCCTGTGGCTGAAGCAAGGACCTTGGGTAGGCAGTCCTCACAATGAGGTAAGGGACTCAGAGAATAAAGGCTTCAAATAGCCGGAGGATAGAAGACTTTTTTTCAGAACCATGTTTGGGAACTAACTTTCCTTCCCCGAGCCCCCAGGAACCCCTCTTTCTGCTGGCTTCCCACTGGTTTCCCTGGCCCACATGGTGCAGAGATAATAATCTTTGCACTTGTATGAAGCAAAGTTGAACCTGAAAGTTTGACTCATAGCTGAGAGGACCAAAAGAAGTAGATTTACAAATGGGAGCTGATATTGGGAGGAGATGTGAAGAGTGGGTGGGCTGGGGAGGCCCAGGTGGCCACACGGGTGCTGTGACAGCTTTGGGAAGGAGTGTCATGGAGACGGAGTTCTGAGTGAACCCCGATGACAGTCAGTACTCAACGTGTCACACTGGGCTCCCATGGCTCAGACTCCAGGCTTTGGAGAACTGACGGGAATCAAGAGGCAGAGGCGTAACGGGAGCTGATGGACGAGTAAAGGAAAGGTTAACACAAATTAGCAGAGTAGGAGAGAGGAGGGAGATGGATCCTAGACAGGAAAGAAGTACCTACTTGGGGAAGGATTTCCCTGAAGGAACCCCGGGCTTATGAACATAGATATGAAGCAGGGAGCCCAGGGGTCACCAAGGTGCAATCTATAATATCAAAGGGGAGCAGAGGGCAGAGCAGGCTGAGCCATGCAAACCCCCAGCCCAGAACTTTCCACCAAGCACCCAACGGATGGTTCAGATCCTTAGAATCAGAGCTTTGGCTGGAACAGTGGAGGGAGGCCTTAGGTTATAAAGCCACAAGGGCAACCTCTGCACTCTGGGTAGATGCGAATGAGGAGTGGGCAGGTACGAGAAACACCGTCTACTTGTCAGGAGGACCTTCCTTCCTAGTACTTCCCAATGGCACTGCTCTGCCCAGGCCTGTGTGGCTGCTTCCTATCCACTAAGCAGCAGATCTTGGGGCCAGAGGTGGCATCCACATTCTCAGAAATCTCCAATGATGCCTGCAAGGCATGTGTCTTCCGCCCTCCCCAGCACTCCCAGGCCCTGCCCGTCAAGCTCTGACTTTCCAACTCCCCACTTGCTCCCATCTGTGGGGTTTCTGATGGCTTCACACCTGCTTGAAGAACTGCATCCAATGTCACTCACTACCTGAGTGTGTTAGCCTCAATGATTTCACCCATGGTCAGCTTTGTGAGTGACAGTGCTCAAAACGAAAAGAATAAAGACGACATGCACTGAGACCCTGCTGTAGGCCAGATACTTCCGCCAAGGCACACACTGAAACTGAACCTGGCTGTAAAGTACTGAGAGGTGATGAGACATGGCGTCTCTCTCCTCGGGGTTGGATTAACGCGCACCATGGATTACTGGTTATCTCTATAGTGGATTCATTTTAAAGCCTGGTCTGCCTCTCCTCGTGGTGGGGTACCCTATGTTGTTATCTTTCACAAAAACAGCCTCTTCAGACATCAAGCAGATTCCTCCAGCAGGAACCATGAACTAAATGAACCTCTATTCTTTATAAACTACCATGTCTTAAGTAATCTGTTGTGGCAACGGAAAGCAGACTTAAGGTAGTGTAGTTGTCTCCACATTCGGCACTTTCATAGTATTTACAAAAGTTTGTGTGTGTGTGAGGGAGTGAGAGGGGGGGAAGGGAGAGAAGGAGAGAGAGAGAGAGAGAGACTGGCTCCTACACATTTTCAGTAAAGACAGAGCTTGAAATTTCAGCTTTAACATTTCTTACGTTGTATTTTTTTCTATTTCTAAAGAAAGTGCATTCATAAATTAGCACCAACTTCCTCCCCAAACAACAGAAAATATTTACCACAGAACTCAGAAAACAGTAATTACCGTGTAGGTTTGTTCTGGAAGCTTTAGCGCTTCTTCTGTCTCTGTCTCACGTGTTCTCAATACTGAATGAACTGTGGCCAGGCCTCTAATCTAGCCAGTGATTATAACTCCAGGCTCTCTGATCTCAGTTTAGAAAGAGTGGAGCACTGGGGGACTGATAGAAAGGCCTTTCCTTCTTCACACACCTGAACCCTGCTGGGATGGGCTTCATCTTCAGTGTCCGTCTAGGGCTATACACTGAGTGTCTGGTCACCAGCTCAGGAGTTTATCTGATCTTTTGGGAGGCCTAGTGACGGCGGGGTCACTGGGGATGCACCGTTGAAGCGATATTGAGAACCACCCCCACCCCACCCCACCCCCCACCTCAAAGCCAACACCGGGTAAGAATCTTTGCCTAACCACAGAGTTCTGTCTTGCCATAGGCCTAAGTGACATTAACTGAAAACAAAAGCTGCCAAAATAAATCATTTCCTTGTGTTGAAATTATTTTCTTTGGCCTTTTTATTATTATTATTATTATTATTATTATTATTATTATTATTATTACAACAGTGAATGGAAAGCTGCTGGCAATGCCTGTGGAAACTCTAGAAAACGCACCTGAAGTAACAACAAAACATCCCACGGTCCTGAACGTGCAGACAGATATTTGGTGTGGAGTTGAAGTCCCCGGTGAAGCCGGTGTTTCTGTCACGTGTGTGAGTCATGGGACTCACTGATGAATGGATCTAAACACCGTTTCCTCGTCCCATAAGCTTATGGAAGGCCTTACTATGCATTGTCAATTCCATAGTTATGAACTATCTGTCACCCCTGTGGGTGTGTGGGGTTCCCGTGGGGGTCTCACCTGACCTCTAAAAGCACCTTCTAGTCAGCTCTTCCCACATTTTTCCCCTCCACCTCATGCCAGGTTGCCTTGCCCAGCCTAAACACAAGGGGAGGTGCTTCGTCTTAGGGCAACTTGATCTGCCATGCTTTGTCGATACCCACGGGAGGCCTGCCCCTTTCTGAACAGAAACGGGGAGGAGTGGGTGGGAGAGAGGAAATAGGGGAGGGGATGAGAGAAGAGGAGGGAGGGGAAACTGGTCCAGACTATTAAATAAATAAATAAATAAATAAATAAATAAATGGAATTTAGAAAGAATTATCTGTTAAAGGCAAGAAAGGATATTGCATATGTCTCCACTAATTAAAGTGCTTTAAAGTCTGTGGTTTGAGGAGAAAGCATGTCTTTTGGGGATTTCCTGTCTCTATAAACAGTAGTTAGTGGAACCAAGAAAACAGCACATCACAGAACCGTGGTTTCTACAGAGTAAAGCAGGGTTGGGGGAAAGGTTAACTAAGGAATTTAACCCAGCAAAGGGTGTGTACTAGAGGTGAGAAAGCAAACAGAGTAGATAAGAAGTCTAAAATAATAGGCTAGCTCCTCATGCCGGGGCTTCTCAGCGAGAACACGAGGTGATGTCCAAGTGTCCAGTGGCAAACATCATGCGGGGCCCCAGCAGTCACTCGCCGAGGAGTGGGGTCTTTTAGCCACAGCCTCTAAGCACGTCTTCCAAAACACACTTCTCCCTCCCTAATGGTTTCCAAATCGCATTTATCATTTTAAACACAAAGCAATGCATGTGGAAAATGGCTGAGTGGTGGCTCTCGGGTGCTGGATACTGTTCTTTGGGGAAATGGGAAGAAGAGGCAAAAAGAAAGAATTTAGGAATTCCCCACAGTGAAGCCGCTGCTGCCTCCTGCAATATGGTCAGCATTAGGAAACCCTGTAGGATGGAGTGCAGATGTGTATTTCCCAACCCACACTGACAGCATACAGGCTGCAGTATTGCAAATTCTCAACTCCTAGAAGTTCCATTATTACTTTAATCATTGCTAGGATCAAATACCTAACAGCGAGCAAATTGAGGAAGGAATGAACAGTTTATTTTGGCTAATGGTTCAAAGAGATACAGCCCGACCTGGCGGCAGCCAAGGCAGCTGGTCACACTGTGTTAGCTGTCAGGAGGCAGAGGGCAGACAGGAAGTAAGGCCAGACTGTCCAACCCAAGGCTCACCACTTCCTCCAAAGAGGCTCCACCAGCTGAAACAGTGCCACCACATAGGGACCAGATGTTCAAACGCACGGGGCTAGGAGGACATTTCACCCTTAAACCACAGCACTGGTAAACAAGACCACATCTTAAAAGGGTGAAAATAAAATTTTTACCTATTTCAGTGTGTCTGAAATCCCACAAACAAGGTGTGTACAAGTCAGAACTGTTAGGGGGAGCTTGGAGGGTGGAGTGGCTACCTGGGACTGGTGTTTTTATTTTCAGTCTGTCCACTTCCATGGTGAAGTCATCCTTCAGGAAAAGGAAGCCAATGATGGAGAACAGGTAGACCAGGATGAGAGCCAAGACCGCGGTCAGGATGATGGAGCGGCCATTGCGAGTGACGCTTTTGATGACGTTCAGCAGGGTCTCTTCTCTGTACACCAAATCAAAGAGCTACAGAGACAAAAATTAAAAAATAGCCTTCAAACAAACAACATTTTTAAATGAACGCCAACAGTTGATCCAGAACACAAGGAGGCACAGTTTCAATGAAGGAGGCTCTAGCAGCATCCACGAGCATCAGCTGGCTTCGTCAACAGTGTCACACCGCTTGCTAAGACACACCGCCATTGAATTTAGGGCATTTAAAATATCAGGCACATGTGGCTTATGGACATTTGAAAAAGTCATTAAATTTATCGTTCAATTGAGGGACTCAAAACGAAATGAGGAGAACAATTTTGTGAGCCTGGTGACAGAAAAATGTTTGAATTTAAAATATTTGGGAAATGCAGGTACTCTTCGTTATTAAAATAACACATAAATGAGGATAAAAAATCTGTGTTAGCTTATCCTTTTGCAAGTAGAACCACAAAAAAAAAGGTAACTGTTTTGTCAATTCCTTCCCTCTAAAGGGTTACTGTGGTGATATCTTACTTGAACAAATAAAGCCTGTCTGGGAGTCAGAGAGTGGAGCTTGCCACTAGCTAACCATAGAGGTCTGGAGGTCTGTACAGACAGACAGGAAGTGAGGTAGCTGCATGGAAACAGGATATAAGCAGGGAGAAACAGGAACTCACTCTCTGGTCTTCTGAGACGCTAAAGAGGTAAGGTGTGGCGGTGGCTTGTTCCTTCTCTGTGATCTCTCAGCATTTCTCTCTATATCTGACTCTGGCTTTTTATTATTTAGACCAATTAAGAACTCTATTTGCAGGTTACTATCCACTCTGTCTTTAATAGCAGGAAATCTAAACACGAATTGAGAACTCAAGCACATGTCTGCTGCCTGCAGCCAATGCTGGGAACCGTTTTACACATTGCTGCATTATAAAGCTGAAATTATGAATTAGCGAGTGCATGTTTTATTATACAGAGGCACTTAAAAGAAATAAAATTATATTCATTTTCAGAAATGTCCAAAAATGTTTGGAAATGAATCCGATCTTCAAACCTGGAGACTTGGGGTTTGTGTTCTTATCTGGGGATAAGAACTACAATCTAGCTGGCCTGGAACAATCTGTCAGGTGTGTGTGTCCTTTGAAAATCCCCTGGTCTGCTGTGTGCGAGAGTTACACCATTAATTTCCACTGTAATCAATCACAGCCTTGATAATCACTGCTATGCAGAACCTGTCTTTAAGACACTGGCATTTGATGTGTCAAATTCTTAAAAAAAAAAAAATCACTACCTTGTTATCTTTTTATCTCTTGGGAAGTACAGCTATTGTTAGAAACAAAGTCAATATTCTTCAATAAAGATGAATTAATGCAAACTCAACCTCTAGATTGTCAATGTTCTGGTTTCTTCAACTTTTTCACCACTCTGGTTCACATAAAGGAGGTTTTATTTTAACTCATCAGAGGCCAGAGTAGGTGGCATTCATAATGATGAAATGAGAAACTCTGCCTCAAACAAGGTGAGGGGTGTGGGGTGAGGGGTGAGGGGTGAGGGGTGACTCCCAAGCAGGTCTGACTTTGCCTGCACTGCCACATACTTATATGTGCACACTCAAATATCGCTCACAGATTCAAGCTTACCATGTTTTTACACCAACTCCTTTCCCCCATTCATGACTATAAAACAGTGTAAACAGAGAAAGGAAAATGGCATTTAAGAATGAGAGGCATCTTTAAGAAGGATGTACAGTTGTGTGTAGGCACACAGGCACCTCCCCAGCACAGAGGCTGAGGTGGGAAACTGTGAGTTAGAGGCCAGCCTGGGCTACACAGCGAAGCAAGTCATCTTAGAACAAAAAAAAAAAAAAAAAAAAAAGGAATCCGGGGGCAGGGGGGGGGAACTGTCTAAAGATTTAAATATACATAGATAAGCTTAGCCCAGATGACATAAGCTAACAATGGTAATGGGAGCTAAATCATAAACTAATGATGATGACCTAAGCTAATCTATACTTTAAACAGCTTGCTCTTTTGCTAGGATGGCTTTTGTTCCTTCTCATTTTGCTTACATACTACCGTAATGACTAATGTAACTTTGACATTATAGATAAGATATACATCCTTATTTGTCCCTTTGCATCTGGATAATCAGTGAATTAAGGAAATATTACTTGGCTGAAAACCCAAAGCCTGGGCCAAGAGAAGAGTCAAGGAAGTTTCTTACTTCTCAGCAAAGAATAGAATTCCATCACCTATGTACTTCCCAGAGAAAAGACCCCACACACACACTTCTCCTAGGAAATACCAAAAATAACATAATTTGTGCCCTGCTAAAAAACAAATAAATAAAACAAACAACAATAAACCAAACCAAAAGAAACCAACTGGGAGTCTAAGGTGTACGGTGCTGCATCCCGTGCCCAGCGGCAATTGTCCCTATGGCTGTACTCACCAGGAAGCTGTAGAAGAACTCGTGGACAAAGAGGCCGAGCATGCAAACCAGGACGTACGCCACATGGTAGAGAAAGGCCATGTCCAGGATGACCGCTCGATAACCTCGGGTGAATGTGCCTCGATTTCCCACAAAACTCACCAGGAACACGATTTTATTACATAGCTAAACGGAGGAGAAAGTGGGATTTTAGTGCTTCACAGTATCCGCAGAACAAGACACCGAAAGAGGAGTATTCCTAAGTTGTGGTTTCCGTTCTCAGAGCCCTCCTGGGTTGTTTTTCAAGCAGTCTGCCAATGCACATGTGAACAACACAGAACTGGCTCACTCTGTAGCTACAGGGACAGAGAATGAGACCCTAGCTCTGTCACCAACATGGATGAGTGTAAATCTGGCTTTTCCTTACTCTTGGACAACCTAGTTCTTTCCATGGGAAGCCTTGATGGTTTCTGAAAACCTGCTGTGAGGAGGTTTTACCTCACAGAAGCCCAGATGACATGACATGGCCAGAGCAATTACTACAATGACTCTTCAAATGTTCCTTAGATACTTATGACTGTGTATTTATATGTATGCCTTTAGGAAAATAGGACGCTCTTTGCAACACTGATTATGTATATCATACACACACATGTATTACATACATATACACACACATACATGTTATCAAACTTGAGAGAATACAAACTCTTTTCCACCGACATCCTGAAGTCTGAATCCATACAGATAAAATGAAAAACTGGTAATTATTGCATGTTATGAAGGTCTAGTCAGAACAACAACACAGCCACTAAAGGCAGACTCTCTCCTCCATGTCCCCAACTAGCTGTCCACCCTCTCAATAACCAGTAATAATCTCAAACACCTTCCACCCACTTTCAACAACTTCAGCAGCTGTCAATCAAGCAGGAGCCTTATTTCACTGTTAGGCGGTTTATGTTGTCACTCAGTAGCACTGAGACACGACGGAGACTTCAGAGTGGCTCTCTAAGAGCAGGAAAGAAAACTGCTCAAAACCCAAGCAATGAATACACACAAAGGTCCTGTGTCTGGCCACAAGCTGGATGCACAACAAGGGTGAGATGAATGTCTGGCAAAGCAACATCCAGCCGTTATTCTGAATTGCTTTTGAGAAACCCTGTCCAAAATTACAAAACTTACCAACTTACCTGGACTTGCCCACCCAGGTTCATCGATGTGATAGAGAGAGGGATTTATACAAAAGTAGAATAAAGACCCCCTCACAAGGGTAATTGTATGACACAGACATATGCTTTCTGTGTCATTTCCTCATTTTCTACGATGAGTTACAAAAAACACACAGGGAAACTGTTTATGAAGCAGATATACTGGGGAGGAACAGACTAAACTGAATTCTCAAAATGATCAATAAATTTTGGTTACAAAGTGTAAAAGACAAGATGCATTTCTGCCTGAGCAGGGCTCGGTCATGTTAACGTGAAAAATAAAGAGAGATTTGCTTTGCTTGTTTACCCGGGTGGCGCTGCACGACCCTTGACTTGTATGTAACGGGGTGCATATGCTTCTGTTCTCTAGGGCAGTGGTTCTCAACCTTCCTAACGTTGCAACACTTGAATACAGTTCCTTATGTTGTGGGGACCCCCAAACATAAAATTACTTTCCTTGCTACTTCATAGCTATAATTTTGCTACTGTACTGTTATGAGCAAATGTAAATATCTGATATACAGGATATTGTGACCCCTGTGAAAAGGCCAGTCGACCCCCAAAGGGGTTGTGACCCTCAGGCTGAGAACTGTTGTTCTAGAGACATCTGGAAGTGGAATGAGTTGACGGGTGTGGTGGCTTTGCCATGGGTTCACACAGAGTTCAGAGGCGGAAGCGGTCCTTGTGTTTAAGGAGTTTATGCCAAGGACAAATGAATGCAAGAATAAAGGGCAGGAAAGAACTGAGAGTCCAGTTTCTGTGGCATGAAGAAATTTGTAAATTTTTTTTGTGTGTGGCACTTTCCATGAGAGCTGGGACTTGGTGGAGGAATAAAGAGCCGAGATCACCTTCTTCCTGCTTGTGTCATGACTTCATTGACATGGAGCCGGTCTTTCTATGTCGGCCTCATGAGGATGCTGCAGCCAATCAGTTCTGTGGCAAGCATCCCCGTGGGCGATGCGTGATGGTGGGCTGAGGTGGCTACAGGGCCCTGCTCTTCTGAGCTGCTGGAAGCAGTCCTGAAACAGCAGCACAGATGCCAACAGCACCACACATTTTGTTTCACTTTTTCTATTTATTCCTCAAAGTTGCCCACAGTGTCACTTTGGTGGATGACTTGAGTAATAGTGAAGAAGGAAGGGTGGAGAAACAGCTCCACACAGTTCTCTGGGTCTCACAGAAATCAGCATGCTAACCAACCTGTTTACCAAGAGCTCCCCTTGTCACAGCAAGGGTGACATTAATGTTTGCTTATGAGTTAGTGTCTAGTGAAGAATGAGTATTGATTGCACCCTGGTGAATCACACGGCAGTGTGATATCTTCATGTATGCTCACAAGTGGTAGACATGTCTTTGCAGGACTTTCAGTGATGTGGTGAAGTGAAAGACAGAAGTCACTGACTTCATTCTTGACACATCCCTCTGTTTCTAGAGGACTTTGTTCACGTCTATAATATGTGCCTAGAAGGTAATCGTTACTCAGAATTTATCTTGTTATTTATTTATATGAATGTGTGTGTCACCCATGTGTGTGCAGTACCTTTTGGGGCAGGTGAGGACGAGCCATTTGAGATGGTTTTGAGCTGTCTGACTTTGGTGCTGGGAGCTGACCTGGGTCTTCAGAAAAACAAAAACAGCAAATGTTCTTAACACTGAGCCTTATCTCCAGCCCCAGACTGAAGCCATTAAAGACGCCTCCTGGCCCCATAATTTTTGTGACATCTTTTTGTTATTTTATATGGTCACAGAAACTGACCACTGCTAAGTGTTGGCGATAGTGTTATTCCTTTGGTCTTATTCAAGACTCTCTTCCTGAGAAGAATATGTAATCCTCATTTGTGCTATTACTATGGGAAAACATGACCTATTTTCCAAGAATAAATTGTCAAGTGGAAAAACAACAGACAGTCTGCTGATGGAAGGTAAAACATAAGATGATTTAATTCAATGATCTCCAGGTATGTGGGTTACACCTCAGGCAGGATAAAATCTTAAGGTCACTATGTAAATAAAAATTTACACACAGTCAAATACCACCCTGGGAATCTTTGAAACTGCCAGCAGAACAGTATAATAAACACAGACGATGTGAGCAGCATCACTTATGACACCCAACACAACCTCAGAGAGGCTTTGGTTTTTTACAACTGAAAGGCAGAAATAGTGGTACCCGGTGACCATATTAAACAAAACACCGTGTGTGTATTTGAAAGAGAGAGATAATATGAAGGGAAAGTTTCAGATCATGAACTGAACTTGTGTGTTTAGTGACTGTATGACAGGACACAATCCTATAGACTAACGTGTCATGTGGTCACCCATGAAACTACACACACACCGCTCAGAACACCATTCATTCAGCTGAGCCTGTGGGAACTGTCAATAGTCTGGCTCGATACCAAAGCCTTATTTGCTTTTCCCTCTTGCAAAGTGGGGAGAACACACTCTACCGTGTCACGTTAAAATAACCGTAAGAAAGGCTAGCACCACTAAGTGAATCACAGGTCCCCAGCCATTATTAGAAGGGGGTAAAGTGCGGTTATTTGAATAGATATAGCCCCCACAGGCTCACAGGGCATGGAGGAGTGGCCATGTTGGAGTAGGTGTGGCTTTGTTGGGGGAGGTATGTCACTAAGGGGGTTTGCTTTGAGGTCTCAAATGCTCAAGCCAGGTCTAGTGTGACATTCACTCTCAGCTACTTCTTCAGCCCCATGTCTCCCTGCATGCCACCAGGCTTCCTGCCATGATGATAATGGACTAAACCTCTGAACTGTAAGCCAGCCCCCAATTAAATGTTTTCCTTTATAAGAGCTGCCATGGTCATGGTGTCTCTTCACAGCAATAAAATCCTAACTAAGACAACAGTGTAAGTAGATCTCTTTAGAAAATGTTAAAAGGTATTTCACTGTGGGGATTGGGGTGTGGCTCAGTGGTAGAGTACTTGCCTAGTATGTGTGAGGCTCGGGGTTCAGTTCCTAGCATCAGAAGGAAAATCTTTACTGATAATTTACTATGCTTTTCTTTACTACAAATAATCTAAGCCACACAGATAAATGGAGTGATTAATGAGGATATAACAGCCATCTAATGAATCAGTAATCTCCTTAAAAACAGGAAATACTACATCTGTATAAATGAGGTTTGCAAAAATATTCAGTGATGTGAACAACATTAAGCATTTATAGAATGTGCCTCTGTATTGTTCAGAATGTTAATTTGTACCAACATTAGCTAAAGAGGCCACACTGTGCACGAGAAGAAAACTGTGTAAGATATACTTTGCAGCACTCAAAATTACTGAGTTTTCTGAGACAACTGTGACAGGAAAATCTACCTGAAATGTGGACAAACTTCAAACTTTACAAACGAATTCGATTTTAGCATAATAAACTAGAAACTGATAAATTCTGAGGTATTCCTTCTATTATATTTCCTTTCTTGTAAAAGAGACTTTTCATATTTGCTTAACATTATGAAGGACAGAGTCTACAGACAAGTTACTGTATGCGCTAAGACACAGACACATCATATGGCAACACTTTCTGATTGATTCATTAATGATCTGCACAGGGGATACTTGGTAAATGGTAGATGTTATCACCAGTGTATCAATATAACAGTTACTGTTCTTTTCTGGATCTTCCATACCAAGATTCTCAACAGATCTCAGCATCCAGATGAGGGTAGACCAGTTGTCCATACCGTACTCCAACTGACAAGAAGGATGAAATCAGACATTGGCTGATTTATATCTGATGTCTCAAATCCTGCCTCTTGTTATGGCTAAACTGTCAGGCTAATGTTTTCTTCTGGTTTTTCTGATATCTATTATTTCAGCAATGACAGCTTCTCATTGCTATACAATGCAAATGTCTATGTACAAATTAAATTAATTAACATATTAATTCATATTATTATTAATATGTAGTTAATACCAAGGTACATTAGTATAGGATTCATGTTTTACTTTATTTTTCCTGTCCCATTAGTAAAGATAAACTAAGAAACTTGTGTAACGAATTTATGTGAAGAGAAAGTATATAGTAATTCACTAAAATAATTTTATTATTCTTTTGGTAGCAAACACAACTTTAAATTATAAATATAAACTTTTCTATTAACATCTGAAGTAGTATCAAATTATAATAATTTCATTAAATTTGCCTCAAATCGACATAGATTATTTTCTTTAGTCAGATGACCCTAGGCTGGTGGTAGTGTCTTGTTGAGTAACATGTTTTATGCTATTGGAATACTGGAAAATTCATGGAATTAGCAATACAGACATGTCTACATGCATAATACTTTCTCGTGAAGCAGTTAAAAAAAAAAACTTGGCTTTGGTAGAGATTTTTTTTTATGGTGAGATGATTTTCACCAAAGCACATGGAAGTTATCACTTTATAGTGTCCTACAAGAGACAGGAAAAGAACACCAGATGTTTTTGGTTCACGCCCACCCCAAACATTCAAATGTTTTCCTTACCTCTGTCTACATCGTCTTGGTCCAGAAATTTAAAAGGAAACAGAAAGAAAGAGACAGAAAGTGGCACATAAATTCTAGATGGCAAGCTGCACATTGCCTACCTCTTGGTGCTCTAAATGCCCATCATATTACATAACAGGTGCAGAGAATGTTTGTTATTTTGGGGGACAACTCTGCTTAGCTATTCTTCACTTTCTTAAACTTGGATTTTTCTCATTTAGTCAATGATCAGTTTATGAATAACATCTGATTCCTCAAATAATACAATTTCATGCTGAACATGTTTTCTAGAGACACAAAATGAGCCCAACACAGAGGTATAGACACGTTTATACACTTTGTGATGATCCTATAATTACCTTGGTTGATGATTTGACAACGTCAGCTTATTTTCAAAGCAAAGACAAAACGAACTCAGATCATGGAATCGCCTCTGAATGTTCAGATGTCAAAGACAGGGTGGAGTGAGCCAGAAGGAATGAATTGCATTGCCCCATTGAGACAGGGGAGAACAAGGGCCAGATCACACAGGAACACGGAGATGGGGCTGAGCAAGGACCAGGTTCATGCATTAATGTGATATCTAAGCCCTAAGAAACCCAGAGAAGGGGGCATCTGGTAACTTTCAAAAGCCTCTGCTCACACTTTACTTCACTGATGGAAACTGAAAATTTTCTTTTTTTTTTTTAATATTCTAACAACTGGGAACTGTGGAATGCTGTCCAACATTGAAGAGTTGTAATAAAATCAAGGTCAGAAACACTGAAAACATAGAAGTGACTATATATTGTCTCATCTTGGCAATCTTTAAAAGTTGGTTAGCTCATTTATTTTCAATACATAGTGGCCACAGATCCATCCACTTGCTCATTAGCTACTTATTCCAAAATATTTATAGACTCCCTGTGATGTCCCAGGATTTCATGATCAATCACTATCCTTAATAAGTATGTAAGGTAATATAGGAGATAACACCAGAGTACTGAACATTGAGTTAGGAACCTGACAATAGTTACAGGCAGTGCTTTCGGAATTAATTATGTAGCTACAATAGCATTTATGTGATTTCTGACCATTTGTTATTTCATCAGTTTGATGATTTACCTTTTCTTCATATCCATTTACAGATATTCCTTGCCTGAAATTGGCCCAGAGTCCATTCAAGTTTTTTGTTTGTTTGTTTGTTTTGTTTAAATTACATCTACAAATCTTTCATTTGCTTCTTGGCATGATACTTCCAGTTTGTTCATTCCACACTTAAAACTAACATTGTCAAAAGCATTTTCTTGTTCTAATATACTAAAGTTTGGCGAAAAGAATCTCACCCAGGCCTTTTATAAGTTTATAGGATTTTCTCATATAAAAGGAGCCCAATTTTGGACCTCATTTTTTGCCTAGCACACTTTTCTCCCCCAAACAAGCCATTTGATAGGAGGTATTTCTTAAATTCTATTGAACATAATTCAATCTTTTGGGATGACTTAGAACCCACTTTCAGTTGTTAACAGTAGCTGGGCTATTTTTTTCAGTAATGGCAGATATGGTACTGGGAGGACATTAAACCTGATGAAAGGGACAGCCGAACTGGGTCACACTGTAAGGGCTACTTAAACCTATCAATGTGTTACTCATCTTTTTGTTCTCTCTCTCTCTCTCTCTCTCTCTCTCTCTCTAAATTAAAGCAAGTAAAAATGATACTTTAGTTAACATAAATTTATATCAAACCAGAATTCACTGCATACACATAAATAAAAGCATAGTTAACCATATTTACACTCAATACATCTGAATTCCATAAGATACAAAGTTAAGCAATGTACTTACATTAGCAGCACCAAGAAGTATTAGTGTTGGCCCCAGACCGATGGTGTATATTGATCTGAGCATGATAGACACAAGAAATGGCCGGATACCCACAGGCTTGGAGAAGAAAAACAGCATAGATGTGCAGATCGCTACTGCTATCCAAAGGAGAACCGAGAACAACGGGGAAAGCGTACCTGGAAAAAGGAGCAGGGATTACTTGTCACCAAGAAAACACAGATAGAAAACACCAAAGTTTTGGCTTCTGTGCTTCATATGCAAACAAAGCCATGGTGCACAAATCTCAGAATAACCCAGTCAACTTTCTACCACAGGAAAGCTTTCTTGACTAGTAAGTTTCAGTGTCATTGAGGAGCTGGAGGTCCCAACAAGAAAGTCCAAGAGCAGTCACCATTCTTCACTTCGAGTCTGAGAACTCTACTTTCTCTCCTGCGGGAGTGATTTATGAAATACTTTTGATAAATGTACTTCACTTGGGAACTTCAAGTCAAATTGATGATTGATGATTGTGGGAAATCAGGTATAGTCCTTCATCATTCCCTTGTTGTATTAGAATCAAATTATCCCATTATGGAGTCCTCAAAAGAATCTAGTTCAGGCCAGCAAGATGGCTCAGCAGATGAAGGTTCTTGCTGCCAGGCTCAATGACTTGGGTTTGATCCCCAGAAACCACACAGCAGAGGAAGAGAGCCAACTCTCACCTCCACACAGACACATACACAGGAAAGAGACAGCAGAATAAATAACAAATGTAAAAAAACAAAAATAAAAGAACCCAGTTTATAGAACCTTACATTTTATGAAATAGAGATATGCTTTGGGTGTTAAAACCCACACACATGTGACTACATCTGAGAAAGCTTTAAGTGTTAAAACACACGCACATGTATTTTTATATTTTAAAACACCTGAGTCTTCATATGAGTGTAGGAATATGAATGGACACACTTGAAGACTGACTCAAGTTCCAACAATATTTAATCATCAGGAAATATGGAGCTGGGCAGATAGCCAGCCAGGGAAGAGCTTGCCTCATGAGCATGAGGATGTGGATTTGATCTCCAGACCCCCAGGAATTAAGCCTAACATTTGGATGGTGGTGCTAAGGCTGCAGTGACAGGCAGAGCCCTGGGGCTTGCTGGCCAGTCTAGCGGGATGGGTGACTTCCAGGCCATTGAGGGACCTTGTCTCAAAATACAAGGTGAGTGATGTCCTGACCTCTGCCTTCCACAGACACGCACACACTCACCTATATACACATACCCATGCACAAAAATGCGTGTGTGCCTGCACACACATGCACACATGCAGTCATGCACACGCACGCACACATGCAGTCATGCACATGCATGCACACGTGCAGTCATGCACACACACATATTCATGCAATCATGCATGTATACATATGCACACACACAGTCATGCACACACACGCATGCACACATGCATGTGCACATACACAACATACATATGCAGTCGTGCACATATATAACATACATATGCAGTCATGCACACACATGCAATCATGCACATATACACATGCACACATGCAGTCATGCACACACACACACATGCAGTCATGCACATATACACATACACACATGCAGTCATGCACATATACACATACACACATGCAGTCATGCACATACACATGCACACATGTAGTCATGCACATACACACACAGGCACACTCACACATGCAGTCATGCACACATACACACACATGCATGCACAATGCAGTCTTGCACACACATGAAGCTATACACACATGCAGTCATGTACACAGACACACATATATGCACTCATGCACACACACATAGAAGCATAAGAAAAATCTCCAATGATTTTTAAATAAACTTAAAAAAAAACAAGTTCCTTAGAAATTTCTCACAAAGGAGGTTTTAAAATTTTCCCTCGAAAAAGAAGTGCAATTCTGTCATGTGTACGGATGAGACAATCGATGACAGCCCTTCTCAAGCGTGGCGTGTGCTGCATCTGCAGAAGGAACTTTGGGCACCACATTATTGCCTCCACTGAAGGGTACCAGGACTCAAGAAGAAAACAACAAACTGGAGATTTCTCCCCAGCCTCCTGGGCCAAAACCCCATACGGGTGCTCATTCTTTCAGCCACTTCTTTCTACCCTAAAACTGACTTCTGACACAAAACACCTTGAGTGCTTTCATGAGAAAAGCTTTGGATCCGCATCAAAACCCTGAGGTGACCCAGACACATCCTTTAATAAATGTTGTATTCACTGGGGGCCAATGCATTGAAACATTACAAAGATTTTTGTAATTTGTCAAACATTTCAACTACCATCAAACAATCCATGAAAAAAAAAAAACACTAATTTAGATCCTGTGCTTGGATCCTGGCTCTGCATCATGTTCTCTACTGTGGTTTAGGTGCGGTGTGTGCTGTGACTGTTTCCCCAGAGGCTCCAGACTTCAAGCGTGGTCCTTGTGAAATATGACTAAGGCAATGGAGTCTTTAGATGTGGTACCTGCAGCAGGAAACCGGATTACAGAGCTCTGTCTTTAGAAGGGATTGGCATTGTCGGGGTTGCGGGGGGGCGGCACCAGACACTCCCGGGAGAGCATGATGCAAAGTGCAGCCCCCCTGCTCGCCTGGCCCCTTCTCCACACAGCCACATCCCTTGCAGCTTCCCCATAAAATTGTGATGGAACCAAGGAGGGTCCCCACCTGGACTGGACAGATGATGACACCCAATCATGGACTTCCAGCATCCAAAACCGGGAATTATATAAACGTTTGCCTTATGAAACACCCAGAATCAGGTGTTTTATTGTAGCAACACTTTTGTTGCCATAACAGCTTCCAAACAAACAGTGATGGAGCCATAGAGCTGGCTCAGAGATTAAGAGCACTTGCTGCTCTTCCAGAGGACCTGGGTTCAATTCCCAACAATCCAATAGTGGCTCACAACTGTCTGCAACTCTAGTCCTAGGGGATCCAACACCCTCTTCTGGACTCCACAGGCACCAACTATGTACACGGTACATGGACATATGTGCAGACAGAACACCCACACATGTTAACTAAATAAGATTTTAAGCGATTTTTTAAAGATTGGGAAGAAAGAGCTCGCCGTCCTCATTGTCAGAATGGACAGCCTCCTTTTGATATTGGCTTATATATGTGCTCTGCCTAGCAAAAGCAAGCCTAGCCACCATCTGCCTTGATTTGACAGCTCTCCCAGAGCAGTACAGGGTGAGTGCCTTTAATGTCCGACTACATGTGTGTTGACTCTCAGGTCTCCATGAAAACACAAACTCTATAAGGGTGCAAGGTAGTCTTATCCTGCCACAGTGTGTCTTGCAGCAGTAAATAATACTGGTCTATCAAGCAGACAAAATATGCTCAGGGAGTTCATACTGAGCAAGCCACTAAATATTTATTAATCCCCAGCTGCACCTGGCTTTCTACATGGGCTCTGGACATCCACAGTCAGGTCTTCAGGCTTGTGTGGCTGTCACTCTGCTGGCCAAACCATTTCCTAAGTCCCTGGCTTTCTTCTTTTAAAAATTATTTTATTCTATTTAACGTGTGTTCTGTGTATGTGCACGAGCGCCCGTGTGTGTGAGAGTGTGCATGGTGTGTGTGTGTGTGTGTGTGTGTGTGTGTGTGTGTGTGTGTGTGTATGTATGTGTGTAGATGCCCACAGAGGCCAGAAGAGGATCCTAAATCCCTTGGAGCTGGAGTCATAGGCATTTGTGTACCACCCTATGTGAGTGCTAAGACCCAAACTCTGCTCAGACAACAGAGCAAATCATGCTAAGATGTTTCTCTAGCATCCCCCAGCTTTTCTTTTAAGAATGCATTAAAATTGACATCTTCAGGGAACATTTGACAGTGTTCTTCCTATCATGTGACTCGTCAGACTAACTCATAAATAAAGTCTGGTATGATATTCTGTGATTTGGCACAAATGCTCATTCTGCAAACTATCACCAGTGCCAGATGATCTAACCACACCTTTACTCTGTCCCAGATGTTTGCGGCCCGCTGGGTTCTCCCCTTGATATACAAAAAGGCAAAACTATGCACTTAAAACTGGGTGTTTTATCCATTTTTACAAGTAACTTGTGGACTGTCTAGCACAGGACCTTGCACACAGCTTGCTACTGAGTACATCTGTGTGGAATGAGAAAATAAGATCAACAGTCATTTAATGCAGTTAATTAAGGTTGAATTCTGTGGCCATCTGTGAGAACCATCAGGTTAGTTCTGACCTGAGGATTTATGCCTTGGAAAAAAATAAATCTCTCTGACACACCTAAAGACAGGTGCTAAGATTTTTCAAAGCCAATCTCAGTGGAGTATGGTGACTTATGCCTGTATCCAAACACTTAGGAAGCTGAAGACTGATGTGAGTTCAAGGCTGGCCTACACTACATAGTGAATTCTAGGCCAACCTGGGCGACTCAGAGAGATCTCGTCTCTCAAACAAACAAATAACCAAAACCAAAGCAATACCAAGCAGCAGTGCCAATCCTTACCCACCAAGTGGAAACTCTTTCCCTTAATATTTTGCATATTTCTATTAATTTTCCATAATAAGTCTTATTATATTTAATGGGAAGATATTTTTAGGAATTTATTCTTTCTAAGATGTTAGAAGCTGGTCCTCTATAAAAGAAAATTCAGACAGTAAAATTGGACTTCATTTCCACACTTGTCTTGGAGCCCTGCCTCGGGCTGATTTGTTCATGGCCTCCTGCCAAACACAGCTGCTTCTCACTCCTCAGCCTTCTCCAAGTCTGGGCTTTCTGTGCAGGCTCATTAGACTCCTTCTTCCTACACCCAGGTCCAATAAAGTCAACATCTATCTATAAACCCACTGGTGGTCCTTGCTCTTGTGCCTTTCTCATTTCTTGGTCCTTAACCAGACCATGAGATCCTTGAGGACAAAACAGCTTTACTAATCTCAGCATCTCTCAGCCTAGCATGGTGCGTAGTACACAATGGTACCCATAAATGCTTATGGAACCCAGTGGATTGAAATCACCTGGAAGAATCTTATTTTCCTAAGCAAAAATGTTTGTGAGGAGGAATTACACTTAATATGTGAAGAAAAATCCTCCCTCTAGATTTAAAATTGATAATTCTATCTTGGGATAAAAAGTTCTCCACTGACTAGTCTTCTAGGAAGGGTCAGTTGGCATGGCTGGAGATGGCCCTAGCATCAACAGATTCCACATAATTCCTGGCAGTTAAGAGGGAGTTTCCATCTACAGTGGAGGGAGATGGTGCCTTGGAGTGTTTATCTGAGAGGCAACATCTCCCTTGGATCCCTTTGTGCCATCATTGTGAATGGAGGACACTATTTTCTAAACTGACATTGTAACCCACCTGTGAACAAGACAGTTGATCTCAAGACACTTCCAAGAGCCTGGGTGACACCTCACCATTCATTGGAACTGGAGGAAGACCAGCCCATGCCTCTGCTGGCCCTTGCCATGACAGCTCTGTGGCTCTCAAGCCGCTTGTAGTAGGGCCCAGGGTGGGAAAGTGTGGCCCGTGTTAACAGAGGTCCATCTCTGGCCCAAATTTTCCAGACGGCTTCATGATTGCCTTCCCTGCCCCAAATGATGATACTATAGGAATACGTAGAACCTTGTTTCTATTTTTTAAATTTTATACCAAAGTTCCTTAAGACTTAAGCAATAGCTGCAAGAATAATGGAAAAACCGCCATGAAGACCCTTCATCTAGATGCAAATATCAGTACATTGCATGACTGATAACCATGAATGTCAACACCAGGAACAATACTGTCATCTACTTCATCCCTCTGTCTTTAGTTTGAACAGCTCCTAATCTTTGTCTTTGATAAGCTTGAGATAGTGATTGTGCCAACCTCAATCTAGACTTTAACCTTATTCCTAAAGTTGTTGTGAGATAATTCACCCAAACTAATCATCCAACTCAGGCTCATGACAGGGTCCTATGCTCCCCCAATTCTCATGCTTGCCCTCCTTCTAAAAAGCCACACACTCGCATCCTACGACTGAGGATCCATCTTGCTCCTACTGCTGACTCAGAAATCCTTTTCAAGAGAGATGCGTGCATCTGTGTGCAGGCACCAGGCTCCACAAAGCCTGGAGATCTGTGCTTTGCAGCCTCGCATTTGTTAGGTCTGCTTCATTTAGAGGCTGAAGGGCTCCCCTGGGCTTTCCTTGTGTAGTCAGTCAAATGGTGTTAGATGATTTCCAGATATGCTTCCATCTTAAAGATTCCCTGCCTCTCTTTCCTGGAACTCTGTCCTGCATCCTCAGTGGTCCGAGTGCAGGTGATATGAATTTATCATTTTATGGTGGGGCTTTACCTCTCAAGAGTCGTGCCCCTCTGTGTCAAGATCTCATCACCAGAGAAGCCCAGACCCAGGGGAGAGAAGGCTGTTCCCACTTCCACCTGTGTGGTGCACAAACGACATTTTTGCTGCCTTGCTTCTGCTGACATGGTAGACGGACACATGCCTGCTGCCTATTTCCTGCTCTGCAGTCACACACATGCTCTACTGTCTGAGATCCCCAATCTCCGATGTGCTTTCTGTAACCCCCTTGCTCCCCCAGCTCTACTTATGCAGCTCAACCTGCAGCCAAGACAGAGACGTTGACACCGGTGGGACCTGATGTAGAGACTGGGAAACAGGAAGTTGATCTTGGGCTCCAATCTCTTCTCTTCACTCCCGTCCATCTGAAATTTGCTTACATATCTGTTGCTGTTATGGCACCCTCTCCCCCGTGTCCCCTGGGATGGCAGTGACAATATTTACCTTGTAACAACTACTCCTTGCCAAACTGTCAGGACATCATTCCACGTGCTCTGTTGACAGCATCTCATTAACCTAACACCCCACGAGCAGATGTGCTCTGAGGACGCTCTCAGGTTATTATTTGCTGATTTCTCTCATCTCTGTCTCCAACCCATTCTACTCTCCCAAGTGTACCCCACACCTGTAACAGATTTTTTTCCAAAGCAATCTGTCAAACCTAAACAAAATGTTTCTGAAAGCCCCACCTGGTTTCTATGGAATTTCCCCCTTCTTTGCCTTTGTAAAAGCTCATGCATTACTAATTTAATAACACTGATTTAATAGTCAACATCCTTCCTTGTCCATCATTACAGTCTGTCTTATGCTGTGTATTCAAAAGACTAAGATTATGAATATTATAAATGCACACTGGTATAGAATCAAAACCCTTAGACAAGACAGAAAGTAAGATGTAATTGTTGCTATCTCATCAAAATGCTTGGATGTAAGATTCTCACATAACTGAGATAAAACATTATAAAACACTAATTAGGTTGAAACACAATCATGCCATTTCATTTTTCAATACTTAGCCCTAATAGCTATGCTACATATGAGCTTTCTATATAAGGACATTTCTACCAGCCACAGTTTTCTGTCTACTCTACTTAATATCTCTGTGCTTGCAATAAATACAGAAAAAAATTAACACAAACTAAGCTTCTTTATTTTAAATCTGCAAAGAGTTAGTGAATGTAATTTGGGAATTTTCAGGCAGTCATTATTTGCAGAAATGCAAGCACTTGCCTTCATCGCCATCATCCCCGAAAGGGTAGAAGAGAGCCACAGCCAGGTTGATGAACACAGCCAGGTTGAAGGAGACGCTCCCCCAGAGGGAGATGTGCCTGGAGAACCAGAACAGGGCGGGGTTGTCTAGGAAGCAACAAGTACAAGGGTGAGAATGGTCAGTTATTGCTGCGGTCGACGGGAGCCCCACTAAGCTAACGGTGTGTGCAACGTGCCTGTGAACAGTCACAGACGTGCATCTGAAGTGATTGTGTCTAATCTTAGGAAGCTTACTGTGAGACTCTAGATGGCAAAGGCATTTCCTAGTTGGTTCCTTTTCTGTCCTTCAAGAGTGTCAGCGAAGGTGATTCTGCAGTAAAAACCCCTTGCATCTGGCCCGTGCAGATTAAGGGGAAGGCAGCTAGTTGGTCTGGGGACCTTTTACTGAAGGGCACAGGCACATATGTGCTGTAAGTAATACTGATGGGTAAACTGGTCTTATTCTTATGGTGTGAAGTCATAAAAGCCAGGACTGCAGACTTGGATGGTCCCCCCACTGGAAATGCTCAGTCAGTTACCTTAAAGCCTGAGTCTCATCGCTGCAGCACAGCATGGATGGGAGCTAGAGAAATGTAACCTACTCAAGCCAGCGTGGTTTCTCAGGCTTGAAGTCTCAGCATCTGAGGAGCTGAGGCAGAAGGCTGGGTATTAGTTTGAAAGAAAACGGGAATTTCTAGAAAAGGGAATACATGTCTGTCATCAGAAATGAGCTGATGAATGAATCTACTAAACAGTGCTTGCCAGAAACTCTGTTCTTTCCACTTCTAAATAACTGAGCAAATATATAGGGCAGGAGGGGGGTGTTGGAGGAGCTAAACTGTCAGCCTACTCTGGGCACCTAGCGGCTCCTCTGGGTCTTGTCTATTATTCAACTTGTAACTAGGTAACAATTGCCTGTAACCCAGACCCAAGGGCTATGACACCCTCTTCTGGCTCCTGCAGGCACTAGACACATGTGGGCACAAGCCTACAAAAGGCACATACATATATACATAATTAAAAATTAGGATTAAAACCTTCAAGATAAAATGTCAGAGTCAGTGGGATGAGGCATATAAAATGAAAACCACTTTTGGGATCTAGAGCAAACCCCAGTCTGGGCCATTGACTAACAAACTGTCTCCTCCTGAGATCAGCTCATTTTTCTCGTCTTGGAGAGGGTGTTCCACAGTGAGAGGGGCTGTGGCAGAATGCTGTCCCCCTGGGCAACAGATCATGGCCTGTAGACATCAACACCACTGTCATTCCTCTGTTTCTATCAGCCCACAAAAACATTTAGATTCTGCCTCTACCTTTGTTCTATACTCTGCTTCTAGAATTTAAAATACAATGTCCACTAGGAATTATTTTAAGGTTTATTTTTTTATTAAAAAATACTTGTCATAAAACAGAGTCCCAGTTTCTTACTAAATTAACTTTGAATTAATTTGAGCTTGCTATTCAATTAATTTTACATGAAGAAAAATTATTTTTTTCAAATATCTCAAATAAAAATTTTGAATAATCCACATATATATTAGGTGCTCCAATCTTTTTTTGCTGAGTTCTATGTGGCAAGATTCTAAAGAGAAACAGTGTTGTAGAAAACTAAAGCTGCATGACATTATCTTATACCCAACAGAGCCTCTGACCAGTTCTGGTCATACTCCTAATCTCTCTCAGTAAAGAGCGGAGAAAACTGAATGGTGGAGAATGGATAATACACATGCCCACCTGTCTGGGAAAGTCTCCAAAGACAATGAAGATCTAATCTCAAGAGGACTGACCGCCCCTCCTCAACTTCTGTTATTTTAGAAAACAACTTAAAAAGATTTTTCAAATGAAGGCTTTAATTTTATGTGCATATGAGTGTTGCCTTGTGGACCATGTGTGCACTTGGTGCCCTGGAGGCTAGAAGAGGATGCCAGAACCCTGAAACTGGAGTTATGGATAATTATGAGCTGCCACGTAGGTGCAAGGAATAGAACCCAGGTCCTCTGAAAGAACAATACATGCTCTTAACTTCTAGGCCATCTCCACAGCCTCAAGAAAATGATTTAAAAATTAAAATTAAAAAAAAATTCAAACTCAGTGTTTTCAAATACATAGGAGAGTTATGTTACAGGTTAGGTTGCAAAGAGAGAGCTGCGTGGCGATGGCTTTGACTGCAATATCACTTGACTCTCTCTGACTACAGCTGTTTGGAAATGTTTCGCTTGGTGGATTTAGATGGGGGTGGGAGGTAGAAGAAAGAATGACTCCTGGAAAAACTCTTAAGTAATACTTGAGAGGTGGAGGCAGGAACATCACGTACTTAGTCATCTATGGCTGCATAGTGAATTTGAGGACTCACTGAGCTGTGAGACCCTGTCTAAACACATACAGAGTTACAGATGGAGAGGAAGAGAGGGGAGGGGAAACCAGGGGGGGGAGCCCTATCTGACCGTAGGACACTGGGTGAGAGCACTGATGAGGATATTGTCCCACACATACACTGAGTGTTGAGGGCAAGGAGTCAGTGCAGGATTTCACACCTGCAGCCATCCGGCAGTGCAACAATGCAGCTGCAGCCTTGCAGTTCATAATACATTAACAAGCATGCTCAGAAGCTGCAGGCCATCTCATTAACCTGGGATTTCTGCGTCCACTGAGCTGCAGACCGCTCAGCTTCAGTGACAGGAGGGCTGACACGCTCCACCCTGCAAGTGATCTCGGGGACATTAAACACGCCTCTGCACACGCTCCACCCTGCAAGTGATCTCGGGGACATTAAACATGCCTCTGCACACGCTCCACCCTGCAAGTGATCTCGGGGACGTTAAACACGCCTCTTCATTCAGACTCACTTCTGATCTTCTTCTGCCATTTCATCTCGTTGTAGAGGTCCTCTGTTTGCTGGAAGAAGTCATTCACCTTGCTTCCCTGCTCGTCTCTCTCCGTGGTGTTGAACACTCGGTACTTGGATTCCCGGGTGAGGAACTCGCAGATGTTGGGGACAGGGAAGACAATCTGCTCCATAGTCCTGTCGTGCCGCACAATCTGGAAACGAGTTTCATTTGTTTTCAGCCATTTGCACACCTCAGCCCTGGACTCCACTTTTAACTTCCCTTTTCTTGATTGCCACGTTTAGTTCTTTGACAAGTCCATGCAAGCATGTAATACGTACATTTCAGTTACCATCACCGCCATTCCCTCATTCCCCGAGGCCTGCTTCTTCCCTGTAGAACTCTTTCCTGTTCTCCTTACTTCCTGGTTTTGGTTGGTTGCCCCCATAGATTTTGACTAGGACCATCCGTGTGGCTTCCAATTCTGAACTACCCAGAAGCGCCGAGTGGGGTCACCTAGTGGATGTACAGCTGGGTGCCAAGCTTTCCTTAGTTCTCACTGTCAACTTGACACAACTCTGAGTCATTTGGAAGGAGGCTCTGTTGAGGAAGCCCCTCGATCTGGTTGGTCTGTGGGCATCTTTATTATTGATTGATATAGGAGGATCAAGCCCACCATGCCAGCGCCATCCCCAGGCCTGTGGTCCTGGAATGTGTCAGAACACTAGCTAAGCATAAGCCCAGGTGAGCCAGCATTCTTTACAGTGTCTAGCTCAGGTTACCATGGTAATGTCTCCCATGCAGTTATAAACCAAAGAAATCCTTTCCTCCCCAGGTTGGTTTTGGCAAGACTGTTTTTATCATGGGAACAGACATGAAACTAGAACAATGAGTTTATGAATGATATTTTTATGAATCCAATTATGAAAAAGGTAAACCAGCTGGGTGACCTTGAACCTAGTACGTAAGCATTTGTGTCCTGTTCTTCCTAAGAGGGGCTCTGGGAAACAGATGATATTAGCATTGTGTGTCCTGAGTTCTCTATACACAGAGAGGTATCTTTATTTATCATTAAAGTGTTGTCCCACCTACAGTTTGGTGTTTTGAATGAGAAATGTCCCTCATGGGCTTATGTGTGTGAACTCTTGCTCCCCAGTTGGTGGCACAGTTTGGGGAGACCATGGAACCTTTAGGAGGTGCAGCCGTGCTGGAGAAGTGTGTCACTGGGGGTGGATTTGAGAGTTTATATTCTTGTTTTCTCTTCCATTACCCTCCTGCATAGGAATAAAATATGACCAGTCAGCTTCACGCCCCTGCCATAGTGCTGTGCCTACCCTGACTTATGGACTCTTCCTCTGGAACCTTAAGCCAAAAATAAAATCTCCCTTCTCTAAGTTGGTTTTGATCCTGGAACTGGAGGTGTGGGTAGTTGTGAGCTGCCCCGTGGGTGCCGGGACCAGAATACAGGCCTCTGCCACAGCAGCCAGAGCTCTCAACTCCTGGATCACCTCTCCAGCCCCTTTATATGCTAACTTAAAAAGGTTAGAATATCAATTGTACAAACTACTTAGATATATTTGGTATGATAGGCAACCATGTGAAAAGAAAGTTAAGAGTGTCAAGTATTTTAAAAAAGAAATTCTTAGGGCTTACTAAAGAAAATAAGCTTTGATTAGATAAGCCAAAATATTCAGTCCCTGCATAAAATGACATGTTTAGTTCTGGTTGTCACATTTTACAAAGGGCAATGACAAACCAGAGAAACTGCTGAAGGAAATGCATTAACCGAAGAAAGCCAAATATGGTTAATTTTTCCCCCGATTATTTAATGAATGCTCACTCAGTCATTAGCTAGCAGCACTATGGTACTGAAAGTGAAGAAAACAAGATAATCCCCAAGGGCTGAGGAGACAGCTTGCTGGTTAAAAGCACTTGCCATGAAAATATGAGGGCCAGAGCTCAGATCTCCACAGACCCACTAAGCCTTGGCTGGGTGTGCCAGCGCCCTGTCATTCCAGCCATGGAAGGAAGAGCCAGGGGATCCTCAGAGCAAGCTGTTTAGAAGAGGAGCCGTGTTAGCAGGCTCTGGGTTCAGATGGCAGAGCCCGCCTCAGTGAGTAAGGTGGAAGAATAATAGCAGAGGATGATTCTTGATATCAGCCTGGGCCTCTCCTGTGCAAACGAACATGACCACACACATATGCAAAAGCATGCAAACACACACACACACACACACACACCCACACACCCACACACCCACACACCCACACACCCACACACCCACACACCCACACACCCACACACCCACACACCCACACACCCACACACCCACACACCCACACACCCACACACCCACACACCCACACACCCACACACCCACACACCCACACACCCACACACCCACACACCCACACACCCACACACCCACACACCCACACACCCACACACCCACACACCCACACACCCACACACCCACACACCCACACACCCACACACCCACACACCCACACACCCACACACCCACACACCCACACACCCACACACCCACACACCCACACACCCACACACCCACACACCCACACACCCACACACCCACACACCCACACACCCACACACCCACACACCCACACACCCACACACCCACACACCCACACACCCACACACCCACACACCCACACACCCACACACCCACACACCCACACACCCACACACCCACACACCCACACACCCACACACCCACACACCCACACACCCACACACCCACACACCCACACACCCACACACCCACACACCCACACACCCACACACCCACACACCCACACACCCACACACCCACACACCCACACACCCACACACCCACACACCCACACACCCACACACCCACACACCCACACACCCACACACCCACACACCCACACACCCACACACCCACACACCCACACACCCACACACCCACACACCCACACACCCACACACCCACACACCCACACACCCACACACCCACACACCCACACGCACGCACACACACACCCACGCGCACACACACACACACACACACACACACACACACACGCACACGCACACCCCTAACACCCTGAAGGGAGCAAACACTGGGAAATTGGGAGTGGTGGATAACTACAATGGTCTAGTGTGAGCTCTTCACAGATACATGAAATCTTTCCAATGACTGACTGATTAAAACTGGACGTGCTTTCTGCTGAAGCAGAGAGACTCGTGGGAGGGGCTGACAGTGAGGTTTGGATTATGGGGGATTCTTTCTCGGACGGTGATTAGGCCTAACCCTTCCCACTTCCCAGAGTTATTAAACTGATCACACCAAGCTATCGTTCTCATTAACACATGGGTCAGTGTAGCAGCCAAATCTGATGCAAGCTGTGGCTCTGTTGCTGTTCACACACAGAGCAGAAGGGCAACCTTTGGCATGAAGTGATATTGCTTATTAACGCTCAGAGAGTTGTCAAAAATAAGCAATAAGACATAGAAATCACCCACCATAGAGCAAACGGTGCTGGTGATAGATCCTGCTAAAAACTAAAACCCATCTACCAGAATGAGTAAATGCGCTGTTTTGAACCTGGAATGACAAGGTGGCCACCATTCTACCTGCTTCTGTCGGATTAGTTCTGCCCAGAAGCATCAAAATGATAACCCAGCTAGAAGTGACACCTCCTGATCTGCCACCAGACAGTAGATGATGACTCGTTTATGGGGCAGGGAGAGGGTAGCTGTCAGACAATCAAAGTGTAAACAGCTGACTACCTTGAGTGTGTGACACCAACATGAAAATTCTATTAGTGCTGCCGGTGTTTTCTGTATACTTTTATTTTGCTTTTTTTTTTTTTTTTTTTTTTAAGCAAGGTCTCTCTGTGTAGCTCTGGCTGCCCTTGACTTTTCTAACCCAGACTGGTCTGGAGCTCACAGAGATCTGCCTGCCTCTGTCTCCTACGTGCTGGGAGTAAAGACAGGTGCCACCATGATCTCCATATAAGAAGTTCCCACAATTTTTAAGGAACAGATTCTCTAGTAATTATGTTGTCTCTAAAGTGTCACTGGTCTGCCCTGACTGCTTCTGTGACCCAAACGAGAGAAAAAAAATTTAGTCTCCATTTCAAAAACTTCAGCCATGGGGAATGTCCGGTCTGCATGCTATTAATATATGTTTCTCTTATTGGTTGATGAATAAAACACAGATTGGCCAGTAGCCAGGCAGGAAGTATAGGTGGAACTATCAGATGAGGAGAATTCTGGAGAGAGGACTCAGAGAGACGCCACCAGAGAGATGCCATGTAGCTACTGGGAAGATAGGATGCCGGGCATTCTCCAGTAAGCCAAGAGCACGTGGAAATACTTAGGTTAACAGAAATGGGTTAATAATTAAGAGAGAGAAAATCAGTAAGAAGCCTGAGCCATCAGCCAAACAGTTTATAATTAAAATAAGCCTCAGTGTGTTTATTTGGGGCTAAATGGCTGTGGGGCCAGGCTGAACAAAAAACACTCCATCTATACTTCAGACTAGTTCTGGGGAGAGAAAAGACTTTGCAAGATGGACATTCAGTTTCCACATGTGACTCTTAGGCATCGGCCTGCGAGACAGTCTTTTCCACTTAAATCATCAAATATTATTTCACAGTTCTGAGAAAAATCATGGAAATGGCCTTAGCTAGTAAGCAAATAGATTTTTCTAAAAGTCACGAGTAAGTACCTCAATCTGTGCAGTGTGGTTGGCGTAATACTTCAAGGCTTCGTCCCCTTCTTCGGGATCAGATCCTGGTTTGAGCATCTGCTGAAGCAGTTTATTGTGTCGGGCCAACTGCAGGAAAAAGAATTAAAGGGTTAACGTCTCTGCACCCTTCTCTTGGGATAAGACTTTGAAGTTCCTCTGTCCATTCGTGTGTGTGTGTGTGTGTGTGTGTGTGTGTGTGTGTGTGTGTCTTTCATAGTCCTGGGTTGGCAGTAATTAGCCACATTCTAGGAAGGTTATGGCTACACTTGAGAAGCATAAGAATCGGTCATTCAGCTGGGCGGTGGTGGCGCACGCCTTTAATCCCAGCACTTGGGAGGCAGAAGCAGGAAGATCTCTGTGAGTTCAAGGCCAGCCTGGTCTACAGAGAGAGTGCCAGGATAGCCAGAGTAAACCCTGTCTTGAAAAAAGAAAAAGGAATCAGTGCTCACATTTGCTGGATAACAAATGTGCGGTTGTACCGCAGAGAAGAAATGTTGACGGCAGCATTGGGAAGATGAAATTCCTTTAAATTACACATGCATGTAAATTACTGTGACCAGCAGGGCAGCGGGCTGTAGAAACAACACAAAGGCTACGCTGCTGTAGACACATAAAGCGGGCTCTCTACCCAGATGGCTCTCTCTCACCTCGTGGAGCTCAGCCCTACAATAGCAGTTCTTCCTAACCTGTACTTCTGCACAGGACCAGGTCAAATCTGGCGCTTTATGGGCACAGATTTCGATTACACTGTATTTGAAACTGGGCATTAAAAACCCAACAATCTAATGATAAATAATTTCTTCTCGTGTACATATGTGTGCATGTGTGTGGAGGTCAAAGGTGAACATCAGGTGGACCTCTATCATTCTTCTCCATCTTATTTGTGAAGACAGGGTCTCTCGGTAAGTGTAGAGCTCACCAAGTAGGCAGCCTGTTATCCGTGGGAGAACTAGGATTACGGCAGCCACGTGCTGTGTGCCCAGTGTATTGTGAGCACTGGTGTCTGAACTCTGCTTCTCACGCACTCTAGCCAAGCATTCCCCACCCTGTCTGTAAGTCACTGCAAACTGCTTTCGGTCAGCCAGTGGAAGTGATCTTTTTCATCTGAACACCGAAGGCATTTGTTGGGTATTTCTCTCACTTTGTAGATAATTAATACACATTCCCTTGGAGTATCTTTTTCATAGATGACTTGAATAACTCCTGAAACCTTGCAATCTCCTTGAGCTCTCAAGTGCAAATGTTCTATTTCTGCCCTGAGTTCCCCAGGGGACTCCTAGGGGGTATCACTGTGTCACACCAACCCACTAACCCTGGCGGAGTCTGTCTCCCACCCGCAAGCTTTTAGGTACAAGATCTCATTAGATCCTACTCAGAAATCCTGGAGTAGACACTTGCATCACTTCCATTTTACAGATGAAGAAACTGAGGCACAGGGAGTGTGAACTTGCCTACAATCACACAGTTAGAAACTGGCAAAAGCAATTAGTACTGACCTCAGACAGTTCAGTTCCAGAGTCAGTATTTTGTTGGTGTTACAAGGCTGTAAACATATCATCCTGTTTTCCATGAAGTCTTAATATAAATGGGACCATAAGGAATCAATACAGATTCAAGCAATAATCCAGACCTATAAAACCCAAGTCAACACCCTGGAAAGTGACAGTTTGATCAATTAAATATTCATTCCACTGACTCCAGAACAAATCATTTTTGAAATGATTATTTTTAGAATTGCCTTTTAGGATCATGATGTCTTGTTTTACTTACATTTTATATTCAACTAAATGTGAATTATATAGATTTTTATGACCATCCAGAGTCATGAAACTTGCTGCGACTTGTAGGTGTTCCTCAAAGTTAGAATCACTGGGGCGTACTAACAACTGGCAAGAATTGGGCAGTTCCAGGGGGTAGAACTGACATGACTTACAAACTGGGATCAGGAATGGGAGGAAGAAGAGGTAAGGACCTGTTATGGCTTCAAACTTAGGAGTCCTCCCACAGCTTATGCTGAAGGCTGGAGACTCCATGGGAAGGTGAGGTGACCTTAAGGGGGGGGCATACAGGAGGGAGTCAGGTCATTGGGATGAGCCCTTGGTCCCAGCCTCTCCTTTCTTCCTCTGCCCTGCTGCCCAGATGGCGTGGTGGACGGCTCTGTTCTACCACCATCTCTCCCATCCTCTTCAAGGCCACAATGTTGTGCATTAAAGCCACAACCACAAAACTTGGAAACCATGCACTAAAATAAGCCTTCTCTCCTCATAAGCTGTTCGCCTCAGCTGTTATGTCATGGCATTGAAGATCTGCTTAGTGTGAGTCCAGAACGAATGAGTGGAAGATTAGGAACGCTGAGTGCTATTGGCAACACAGCAATACATTGAGGAAGAAGGTCAAAACTTGGAAACCCAGAGCTTCTAGTGTCATGTAACACAAAAAATAAATGGCCCAGAGACTGATAGAGGGGTTCAAACGTCTAGCAGAAGATGAGAAAAGCAAAGCAGCTGGCCACTAGCTTCTAACCTCTACCTCAGGCTGAAAGGGCTGATCCTGTTTTCAGAGCTGTCACCAAGCCTCAGACTGTAACCTCTCCTCAGCATGGCTGGAGACTAAATGCCTCCTGCTGACCACTGAAGTCCCTGCTTCTATCTTTTATACCCTTCTAGTGCTGGGATTAAAGGCGTGTGATCTGTTACTCTTTTACACTGATTCAATCTCTTGTATCCCTGGGTAGCCTTGAACTCAGAGATCTGTCTACCTGAGTCCCAGGATTAAAGGTGTGTGCTACCACCTCCTAGCTTCTGGCTGGGGGTTAAAGGTGTGTTCCTGGCTTCTATGGCTCGTGGCTGTCTTTGCTTTCTGAATCCTCAGGCAAGCTTTAATAAACCATACACAATATATCACCACAGTGTCACCATAAAGGAGACCAAGAAACAGGTTGTAGCATCAGTTTGTCAAAGCTCTTGGTAGAGGTCAGGCCTGCAACAACAACCAAGGAGCAGGAATGCAAAAATAAAGACACAGAGGCCATTGCCTTGGGATAGGCTCTTCCCTGGCACCAACAGAGCAGGTTTAACCACACCACACAGAAGTTCCAAGTCACCAAGCCTATTTAAGTAGTCCAACAGGTCACCAGAGAGCTCACGGGACAAGTTCTCTCCAGAGCTGGTGCCAGTCAGCATTAACAATAAAGTTCTCTAAGTTTCAGTCCGAACCAAAAATGAGCCTTAAGTAACGTCACATCAATCAATCAGCTATTTCTCTGCCCTCACCTTCCACTCTGTTTCCTTCTGTGAGTCAGACCACTCTCTCCCTTTACTTGACTCTTCACAACCCTTAATCCATTATAGTCTATTTCTAGGCTCGGTTCCCAGCACCCACCGGGCAGCTCACAACCACCTGTAACTCCAGTCCTAGGACATGCAGCACCCTCTGCTGGCCACTTCAAGAACTGCGTGCACTGGGTGCACAGGTACCAGAGCCAGCACAATATCCACACATAAAAATTTTAAAGTAAAAACTGTAAATGTAACACTAAATGTATATGTATGTATATCATAAAATGCACCTATATGTATAACACAAACCTTATACACAAACATACATAATCACCAACAGTGTCTTATACACCATCATATATTTTTAAAATAAAAAACTGGGAAATGAAGACCGACCACAAAGTCCCAAACTCCACTAACAATGAATACAGCTTGAAAAAATGCTTGTTCATATCTATCTCCCTATCACTAGGATTTCAATGTTGATTTAATATGGCCCCAAGTAAGGACTGGACAATAACAAGAAAAGCCAGCGACTGTGCCAGAATGCTGTTCTATGGTAATTATACCTTGATACTTCTATCTAAGGTTTTTTTTTTCAGTGTATGTTCAACTATTATTAATTGGTAAAACTGACAGGGAGTTGGTTTTCCCCGTTTGAAGATCCCCAAGTCACATGACTGCCTTTGTGTTTAGGTCAATAAGTGAACGGTGCATTTACACCCAGCAGCATTCCCATCTGAAGAAACAACAGCGGAGGACGGAACAGGTTCAAGGAAATACAAAACCTTGCCTGCAAAACCCGGCCAAAAGCTCCCAGCATGCTCTGAGGTCGGACAGGACACGGAGACTACCATGAGGAAGGGTTCTTCCCTCAAGAAGAAAACGGCAGAGTTGCCCGAAGGGGGGGTGAGAACGTCAGAGGTGAGTGAGGGAAGAAGAGGGGGGCAGGAGGAGTAACGCAGAGGTGGGTGGAGCCTCGCGCCTCACCAACCGCTCAGTGGCTGTTACAAAGTTCTTCTCTTTCCCAACCGTCCTTGCTATCTAGTCCCAAACCGGCGCCCATATCGCCTAGAACATATTTTAGACCAAAACTGGATCAGAAAGAGGGAGGAACAGTATTTTCTTTTACATCCAAAATAAGCTCTTGAGAACTCAAAGAAAGCAGGGTTAACAAAAAGGTTGGCATTAGAAAAAAATGAGAGTGACGTTTCTGAGAACTAGAGTTTGACAGACTAGGACTGGACACCCTGAAAGACATCTGTGGAGGACACACAGACCTCCAGGCCAAAAGACAAGAGCCCCAAAGTAAAGTATGACATCTCAGGGTGGCATTTCATCACACCTGCGTGCACACACACACACACACACACACACACACACACACACACACATCACCCTTCTACAGTGAAATAAGAAATTGGTCCCTTTGAGATGCGGTGGGCAAGGAACCAATGCTGAGGTAACCAAGGAAACGCAGCTGCATCTTGGTGGTCCTCTCCGGAAGGTCAGAAATCCCCTTGTGGTCAAACATCCTTGAAGCTGCAGGCTCTTCTAGCTATAATAGAAACCTAAACGCCAGGGCACTTTCCCAAACACCACACATGTGCACGAAGAAAAGGTTTGCATCATCAAAGAGCCAGACTTCACAGCAGAGTCACCTACACGGTGGGTTTATGTCCCCTGGGCCTCTCAAAAGGGCTATGTGAAGAAGTACCCTAAAAGAGAGGGAAGGGAAACTTCAACACACCCTTCTGGCCATCCCTTCCCAACCCTTCCCTCCTCTTTCTGGAATGTGCTGTCCTTTGC